CCCCAAAACCCCAAAACCCCAAAACCCCAAAACCCCAAAACCCCTTCATGGCACAGTAAACTGAATAATTTAAAAGTTAACTTATTGCTTCTTGACTTCTTCTTTGGGAGACTTTAACGGAGGGCTTTGAAAAACAGAGATCTGATCTAAGTTAGAAGTGTTATCTGAACTTGGCAAGGACTCCTTAGGTTTCTGAGAGGCCTGGTTATCATCAATAGAGTCTGTAAGAGGGTTTTCAGGAGCTCTGAAGGTGTTAGTGATATTTGAATCCGCTTCTTGTTGTGATTTATCTGTATTTGCAACTCTTTTGACTGGCTGAGGATCTTCTGAAGAGGATGATTCTGGTTTCTTGGGCTCAACTGTTTTGTGAGAGTTAAGTGTATGCTTTTTCTGGAAACTACTTGACATTTTTGTAAGTGTCTCCTTCTTCTTTTTCATTTTATGCAGTAACTTTGACAATTTCGACTTTTTAGCCTCTCTATGTTCATTTGCTTTCTTAAAGAATTTCTTATGAACAGCAGCTATTTTCGCATTGATGTTCTTTTCTTCACTCATTTCCTCAAACTCCGATATGTATCTCATTGGTGAAACAACTCCATCGCTACTCTTCTGCTATAAATAATGAATTAGACATAAACACAAATATGAGTGAAACTTACAACTTTGACTTCCTCTTTTAGGCCGATCTTAAAGTCAGGGTCTTCTTTAGCTTTGTCCTTGACGAACTTATCAAATCCTTTCTCTTGGTCAAGACTGATTCTTGATATGTTCTTATCAGTGATCACTGACGTATTTGGAAGACGCTTGTTTCTGTTAGCTTTTTTCGTTTTGTAATCGATAAGGATTTCTTTGATGCTTTTTGAAATAGTCATCACCATCAGGATCATCTGAGAGGAGAATAACACCAGCAATACTGAGAACTTCCCCTCATCGTTGAATGACTCTGTGTTCTGGAACAAATAAGTGGTTCCGAAGATATACAGAATTGCAAATTCCATGATCAAGTTGCTAACTAGAAGGGTTATCTATAATTTACCTTTTTGGAATCTATCCTCGAACATTGGATAGAACAGCATTATTTTTATATTGTTACAAGTTGAATTAGGAAATGGATTGTTATATGGATGTTAGGGTCTAGTATTCCTAGCATTACCACATTCACAGCAATGACAGTTCTTCTAAGAACAAAGGTGAGATGATATACTAAAACTCCTCCCTTTGTCATTGGGGTTTCTGTGAGGATTTCTTGGAATTTAGTGCTCCATTTTGTCATTTCTGTTGAAGCAGCATATGAAACTATGAAGAGATTGAAGCCTATTACCATCAATGCAAATGCTACGAGAGTTAGATATGAGAAAGCATCTGCTGGTCCATTAAATTGAGCACTTCTTATATTTACAAAAACATATATGATTCCATCTAGCATTATTTCAAAGTAGATTCTCACAAATCCATTAGCGAAGAAAATGAATTTGAGCTTCTTCTTAATAACTGATGTATCTTTCTTTTTGATTTTCAGGAAAATATATGATAAACCAGCCATTAAGAGAGTTGTAGTGACGAAAATGAAAATAACATCGACAAGAGTGGAGATTGTATAGTCAATGAACCTATAGGTTTCAATACCATAATCTTCGAAATATTGGCCTAGGAGCTCATCTCCATCCATAATTTTCATGATACTAGCATCATCTCCTGGTTCTGGTATTATGAGATTGTAGAGACCAATATCTAAAGCAGCTAACACAGAACTTGATTCAATAGTTTGTCTTACAGCTTGAGGTATTTTAACTTTAAGGAGCAGGATTGTTCTCAAAATTTGGAGAGTGTTTATCATAACCCAAACATTAGGACTAATCGAACCCTGAAGAGCCCCGGCTGTAAGCATAGCACCAGCCATGGCTGCCCCTAATCCTTGGACAATAGATCCGTCAATAATCTCTTCTCCTCCACTGATACATTGGCGGGCATAGTCTAGAACATATCCTGAGTCTCATACATCTCAGATATCACTTTTTGAGCATGTTTTGCAGTTGGAGATTCACTTGACAATCAATGTGAATTCGTAATAAGTATGGTGGAGGTCTGTTTTAGCAACAGCTCTGGCAAGGTAAGATCCATCTCTATCAAATTATTTCAAATACCTTACTGCAGTCCTGAAAGAGTGACCACATAGTTTCCTCCCACATATGCCATGGAATAGAGACTGCTTGAAATTGGATTTGTCAAGCTAAAATTGGATAAGAAATTTATTAGATGACAATAGGTCTTAAATAAAATAATTGATCCTGTAAACACTGTAGAAGGAGCCCCATTAGAAGTCTTAGCTTTAGCTAAATAGAAACTAATTTTAAAGAGGAAGCTAGTCTGTGACTCTTGAGTCTTTCTTTGATATCAAGAGCTCTACTAAGTATGTAAAAATCTAATCCTAAATGTGAATCTAATCTGATAAATTCTTAACCCTCAGGTTCTCCACCTAATTTATTCTGTTGAGATCGGACCTTCAAACAGTCCAAGACGAGAAAATCTGATGAAAATTAAGACTTTCTCCAAAAAGTCTTCCCAATTTTATTCAGCTAAAATTCGCAACTGCAAAAACCTAGATGGATAAGTCGCTTACTCTGAAAATTGAAAGAGTTGGAAGGTAACTTCCATGATTGCGTCCTTGAGACCATCTTTTGTATAAGCCTTATTTAAGTTGAAGCTCCCTTCATTAGGAATAATTTTAGTATCCTCCGTGGGTCAAAGCCCTGAAGGAGTACCTGAAGAACATGCTTCAGTAGTGTTAAAGCCAATAGCCACCTCTGTAATCAGCTGCAGAGTCGGAATTGGGACATTTTGGTAGTGATATCCAGCTGATTTGACTTCATATCCAGTCTCATCTTGGATAAAATCTGCTGCAGGAGAATATCCAATTATTTCAAAATCTGTGGGAGTGGTTTTTGGAAGAGTGTAATTGTCATAGTGAATATCAGTTAACGAATAAAACAGAGAGGAATCTGTTGCCGATGCGAGGTTAGCCTTCTTAGAATTGATTTTGAAGATGTAACCACCCACACCTGTAAAAATATAGTCATCTGTCTCAAAAGTCCCTGAACTTTCATGCATCGTGGCAATCCCTGCAAGCTGATAATGAAATAAGATGTCAAATTGCACATTATGAATGAAGCTTCCATCTAGAAGGTTGATCGTCTGGGTATGGTAGTAAGAGGAATCACCATTAGAGTTCATCAAAATTATTTGATTGAACTCTTTGTGGATTGTAAAGTCAAAGTCATGAATCCTATTTGTCGCGTAGTCCTCAAACTGGATCTCCCAATTAAGGGACCCATCGGATACCTTAATGGCATAGAGATACAAATAATCCTTATTTGAATAATCAGTGGTATTGAAGTTGTTGAATCTTGTGCAGACTATAACTTGGTCGTTCGCAGAATCATATTTACTCATTGTTTCCTTGGTACTTGTATTTAGAGTAGATGATGACTTTTTCTGAATGTATTTCATCCAATTAATTGCCATATAATCTCTGCTAATGGAAATGACTGAAATATACTCTGTGACGGAGTCTTTAATAATTCCTGAAATCAGCAAATTTGATGAATCTTTGCTAAAATCAAAACTTGTAAATCCCTTAGTAACTCCAGAGGTCTCAAAATTGCTGTTTAAAGTTTTATATTTGAGAATGTTGGTGATGTAGGTATCTAAGACCTCAAACTCAAGAATAAAAGCTGTATTTCCTCCAGAAATATGGTCAATATGATATCCAACGGCATAAAATATGTTGCTAGTGCCAGCAATGGAAGAAGCTAAAGGCTTAATATCAACTATTTGAGGGCCAAATATGTTGTCAGTATCTATTTTGAAGCAATTGTCTTGTTGCATTACCAAATCTGTTGTCGTTATGACTATAATTCTGGCTCAATTAGGCCCAGAAGAGCCTTCAGAGTACATTAGAAGCAGAGATTCATCGTTATTGAGGACACCTTTGTCAAAGCTTGTAATTTTGGTAGGACTTGAAATATCATGATAAATCTCAATTTCTTTCTCTGCCACCTAAAATAATTAAAATGCGATTTACCTTATTGGGAAGGTTGACTTTTGTAATGTTTGATCCTACGAGATAGAGATAACCGTCACTCGAGACAACAGGGTATCCCCCGATGTCTTCTGCATAGAGAATAAAGTTATCATTATCAGGTAGAGCCAAAGTGTGCACTACAAGGAAGAGTAGTAATATCAGCACTGCCATCTGTTATGTAAAACTATTTATTATATTTGTTTCAATACATAACTCCTTTTAAGGGGTTTTGGGGTTTTGGGGTTTTGGGGTTTTGGGG